TTTTTTTTTTAGTTTATTTTATACAAAAGCTTAGGTCTTTTATATTTTATCGATTGAGGCACTACGAAGTCTGCCGGGTCAGCTAGTAATGTATAATTAAAAGTACTACTTACTGCGTCGTGGTAATTGGCGTACGGAGCTGTTGAGTTTCCGAACGGAATCAGAAGAAGTTCTCCAAACGAATGGAAAGAGAGATACATATCGATTCTGTCTCCAAGGCTCCTCAAATACGTCGATAATGATCTGCTCTCGGGTTCAGAAAACGGTCCTGGACCGGCGTAGGTGTCAGTAGCTGGATTGGTGCTGGCTCCACTGACTGTTATTTTTGTAGATATTAATTATTGAAAGCGATGTAAAAATCCACGACATCTAGCAGCCATATTATTTTCGAATAATCATATAAATTAAATTAAATTCACTTATAATTATAACCTGATCAAGGAGTTTTCCGCACGCCTCATCGATGCCTCAAGGGATCCAAGGGCTGGCGCGCATTTCGGACAAAGGTTGAGCCTGGCCATTTAACGGGGAAATGCCGTCAGCCTCTTGAGCACCCTACCATATGAGCGCAGCGATTTGGGGTCGATTTTTTACATTATCGAGTTTTATTTTGAATTTGGTATAAGTATATATTTGAAGTAGTTTATTTAGTAGTTTTAAACTATTCTGATAATTGAAATAAAATATTCTAGATTAAAAAAAAAAGTTATACCTACACTTGTTTAAATAATTAAATGCTACCAATACTATTCGATGCGTCATTAATCAGCACAACTCAGTTAACTGCTAGTCTAATGCGACTCAGATTTACAAATCTTTCTAGATTAACATTGACATATATGCTGAAAAGACCGCAGTAATTGCATATCTGATGGCTTTTGAGATCGTTTGCTTGGCCATCCCAAAAACCATAATTATTCTCTATAATTATTATCTAGTCTATATTAAAGTCTTGTAAACGTCCAATATAAGTTGGCAGTTCAATAAACTTACCGAGCCAATTGCTGTTCCAATTTCTGTTCAAATCGACACCGAAGAAGTTGCCGATAGGACGCCTGTTCTTACGCCACATACGGAACTAAAAGAATAGAAATCTATAGATGCTATTTTTGTGTACCTTAGTTTTATTGGTTGAACAATACAAATTTATAGATTTACTTAAAGTCCTCATTTTTATGTCAATTATCAGTCCCCTCATTATCTCGATAGTGAATTCTTGCATAGTAGTTATATTTTAATCATTTTATTCATGAAACTTTCGTGAATTTTTCATGCGTACTGTCATTCACCATTTATTCTTTCATAGAATTTGTATTCATTTAAACTTAAAAGTCGTCACGTCTAATTATATATGTTAGAAACAATTACTTACATTAGTATGACTCCATACATAGCCATCAGGATTGGTCACTGGAAAGATATACCAGTCAAAATCACGAGCAGCTGCTCTCGTCTCTGGGTTAGTACTGGTAAGTAGCTCATTAGCAATGAAGCAGACGGTAGCTGGCGATATCCATTCTCTGGCATGTAGGCCCCCTTCCAAGAATATAATCTTTCTACCGCTGCCGTGAGATATTCTGAAACCTTCGATTTCTCGACCCTCGTAACTGACGCCTCCAACTAATTTCGTCACTTCCGAATAAGTTCGGACTAAATCATTGATCCAGGCATTGATTCCTTCTAAATTGTAGTAAGTATCAAATCGCATGCTCGGTGTGCGTCCTCTTGTGTAAGGGCTAACTGTCTCTTTATCAATAGCCCTGGAAAACCGAATTTATTGTATTTTAACCAGTACTCTTTCGCTTTCTCGCCTTTATTTACATTTTACGTCAATAAGAATACCTTGCTACCTTGTAAATCTCAGGCCTAATATTTCCAAGGGTTGTTTTTTTACTGTCATCAGTAGTAGATCTATGCTTGTCTACTATACAATCATCGAACCATCAAATATTGCTAATTAGAAACATATGCATACTTACTCTTGAATATTGGACATGACAATCTCATAATTAATTCCATTGCTCTTTAGAAAATTATCCAAATCAATTTTGTTCTCAGGTTTGCTCATGATATTCACGAATTCGGCTTTGATACCAGGACTTGACCAGAAATCGAATCTTAAATCGTTATCTTGAAGGTTCTGTAGTATTTCGATCTGTCGTTCATTTTCTGGTAGAACTTTGAATAAAGTATAATTATCGAATCTAAACTTTTCACTCAAAACGACTGGGGCGAGTAAAAGAAAACTAAAATTAAATAAAAAACGCATTTTTTTGACACTAGCTAGTATATTACGTTGACGATAAGTTACACACAACTAAAATCCAAAACAGTATCAACATTTATGTTGAAAATTTGATGGATCTATAGTGAATTATAATGATACTTAAACGTGGGTAAAAAAAACAATGATAACAATTTTAAATAATCTTATCGATAAAACGGATAAAAACAACCGCTTTGATACTTGTTCGTTTATACTTTTAATTTATTTACCTATAAGGAACATGCTCTGAGGAATTGTTCGAGATGATACCAGCATCCCGTTTTTACCATCGCACCGCCCGCCACCGGAGTAGAGTTCATCCATACTACCTGGAGCCGCTGCGGTCATCCACAGTGCGTTTCCAGAGATCTTTTTTGCCACGTACCATCCGGCTATGGAATGAGCTCCCCTCCACGGTGTTTCCCGAGCGCTATGACATGTACTTCTTCAAACGAGGGTTGTGAAGAGTATTAAGCGGTAGGCAGCGGCTTGGCTCTGCCCCTGGCATTGCTGAAGTCCATGGGCGACGGTAACCACTCACCATCAGGTGGGCCGTATGCCCGTCTGCCTACAAAGGCAATAAAAAAATATATATTTTGCTACATCATTATTTATTAAAATATTATGTAGTAGAAGTTAAACAAGTAAACAGTGCTAAAAAATTCACGAAATGCTTTTAATTTATATGAAATTAAGATTGCAAAAATTCTTTTGCTTGTGCATTTTTGTTTGATACGTTCTACGAATCTAATCTTTCTGTCGAAAAATATGCAGTTTCCGCTCTTAGCGAATTACATTAATTATTATTAAATTTTTAATTAACTCGTTTCGACCAAGAATAATGCACTTTAGTGGAATGTTTCAAAACTTGTTGGAACAGACGTGATTATTATTAAAATACACATAACCTTCCTATTAGTGGAAGAGTTCACAACAATGCACTTTTATGCCTGGTATCCTATCCACACTATTCATATTACTGTATTATATTGTGTTCAATTAAAAAAAAATGTTGGTGTTTTGTATGTATATTTTTTTGGAAAAAGAACATAATAATATATGAATAATGTACATGGGTGACTAGGTATAGAAGTTTATATAGAAGTGAATATACATAACAGATATTTCAAAATTAAAATAGTACAAATGTCATGTCTACTAAATACAAAACGCATTGGATGTTACAAATTAATTGAAATACAATAATGATTTATCTTGATTACAAATAATCACACCTAAACTAGAGAAACCGTCGAAATCAGAAATTAATTAACAAAAATGTCAGACGGGACTCAGACTCGTAACTTTTTTGGTGAATTTTGATTGCTAGGTTAATAAACATCACACAACAGATTTAACAACGAAAAGCAGTAGTGGAGTTAAAAATGATAATTTTAGTCCGTTTCCGCTGTTCATGTATCCGAATCTCTTGGCTTGGTGGATGAGGTCGATTATAGAGTCCATTGTCTCTTCGCTGGTGGGCAAGATCTGATCAGGAGGCAGGAGATGACCGAAAGTTCCCCTGTCACGGAGCTCGTATATGTAGACTAAGGGGACGTCAAGGAACTCTTTGACCCAATCTGCGCTGCTTCCTGTTGCATGGTCTGATAAACGAAGAGTTACTATTATAATAATACTAGCTTTTGCCCGCGGCTTCGTCCGCGTGGAATACTTACTTTGGTATAACGCTAAATTTTACCCGCGACTTCATTTACGTAGAAGTAAGTGTATTTTTGAATAATAAAATGTTAAGGAGCTATTTAAGTGGTCTTAGCGTGATGTTATAAAGAGCCTATAGCCTTCCTCAATAAATAAGCTATCTGACACTGAAAGAATTTTTCAAATCGGACCAGTAGTTCCTGAGATTAGGGCGTTCAAAAAAACAAACTCTTCAGCTTTATAACATTAGTATAGATTATGTTATTCCTGATAAAAATAATAATTGAGAGCCGTAATAATTCAAGATAGCTAGTTGTTGTTTTGTATCGGGTAATTATTAGGATCTCGATTATTATCTATATCATTAAAATATTGAATGCTAATTCAACAATTCGTAATGGCTTCCAATATGCCAGTATTCAGGATAGAGGAGGAATAATAATAATAACTAATAACTGGGAACAAATCACACACGGTCATCCGTTTCCGATTTAGGATTCACCGTTTTATTTGTACCAGATACTGATAAACATATTGATATACGTTTACTTATATACATAAGGTGATTTAATCCGAAGAGAGTAAGTTGATGTACATAATAATATGTGCGTATGGTGTTGCTTTTGTTTTTTTGGGTAAACTAAAATTTCTAAATTTCTCTTTTTTTTTTCTTTGTTATTATCTACTTATATGTGATTTTGATGATAGAAACATGTTTGGATATTGTTTTAGCAATTTTTTTAAATATGATTTGTTTCTTTTGTACTGTTGGTTTCCCAATTTTTTTTTTTTGTTTTGTGCTGTCGGTTTCTCAAATAAATAAATAAAATAAAATATACCAATCACTGATCAGTGAAAACTAATTTTACTGTTTAGGCTCGCGTTTTTATTTTTATTATAGTATATCCAGCTATAGTTTTCCGTGACCACAAAAGTATTTTTAAGTTCGTCCACGACCCGCGAATTTCTAGATTGTATTATTAATTACTCACATATGGCTTCAGCTATGTTTCCTGTTGTATATTCTGTACCGTATCTCACGGATAAAGCTCCCATCGCACGCCTTCCAATATTCACCTGCATAAAAGAAAAAACTTCAATAATCTATTTATAAAGGAAAAAAAAAGTTGCTATTCGATGGCTCCAAGCTAAGATTTTTTCCTGTGTAATGACACAGTCTTCTGTGTAATGTCGAACACTCATACAAGACAAGGATCAGTTAAATCCACATCCTGAATATGAAAATTTTATCACACTGATACTGAGTCTGACCAGGGAATGATCGAGGACGTCTTGGTATAACTATGTAGTAAGTTCAAGCACTCAAACACTTAAGAATTTCATATATATCATAGTATAAATTGACAAAATTATAACGGATTATTATTATAAGATTTTACCATCCAATCAGTTATAATCCATCGTTTTTCTTTTCATTAGTTTCGTTCATTTTTCTATTTATTAACTGAGATCGGCTGACCAACTTGTGGCCAACTTAGAGTTAATTAGTTGCCATAATCCCCTAACTTGTAACGTCTATGATTTAGAGGAACAAGAGAAGAAAAACCGGTACATGCAATATACTAGAGTTCGAACCCGTGGCTCAAAGCGGGTGGTGGAATTTCTGTTCTTAATAACTACATAGGTCATAATCTCAGCTATCTATCCAGTAAAACTAACTAAGCTTCTAAGCACTTACCACATCATAATAATTTGCCAAAGGCTGAGTTGTGTTACCAAAAGGTACCAACAAGAGCTGGCCAGAGGAATGCATAGACAGGTATATATCAATTTTATTTCCGATAGCCGTTATGTATGTGGAAAGAGTGCGGGTCTCTGGTTCCGAGAATGGTCCAAGGCCAGCGTAGTTATTTGAAGACGGGTTAGTACTGGAGCCTTTAACTGAAATAGGGAAAAATAAGGATAAATTATCAAAGTAACAGAAAATCACACTAAAAAGTTAAAAAATCTTCTACTGCTTTCTTTGTATATACATCTGATTCCCGATTCATAGGTACACTCATAGTAACCACCAAGAGTTCAGTTTAAAAACAATTACAAGCCTCTACTATATTTGATTTTAATGCCATAAAACACTGTGTGCTACTAATCGATCTTAAGCTTCGGCTGGTAGCCCACTGAGTTTCTCGCCGGATCTTCTCAGTGGGTCGCGTTTCCGATCCGGTGGTAGATTCTGCGAAGCACTGCTCTTGCTAGGGTCAGTGTTAGCAACTCTCCGGTTGAGCCCCGCGAGCTCACCTACAAACGTTAGGGTGAAGCTGAAATAGCCTCTCAAGGCTATCAGCATAGGTAGGAAAAAAAAAAGCTCCGGCTGGCATTTCAATTCCTATGCTACTGTTCCAACCTCATGACTTTATGGGTTTCGGTGGACGTTAAAGATCAGGTGTATCTAAAGCTCGTCTACTTCTCCACGTAAAGCTCTGAGTATATTTAAATAAGATATCAAGACACTTTTTATTGCAAGTATGACTTAGTTGTGCCTTGAATATGACTGATTTGTATGACTAGCGTTAACTACGTCGCGTACCATGGAAGACTCGCTTAAATGATCACAATTTTATATTGTACATTGTGTTCTTTCAGCATGGTTGAGTCGTCACCCCATTCCAGGCTGATTGACAGCGTGGGATATATACCGAAATATATGGTGCAAAACTTTGTTCGTCCTTCATATTATTTCATCAATAATTTTCATTTCATTAATAAAGTTTTGTCTATTGTCTTAATATACTATGCCCTATTCCTTACTAAATCAATCAATAAATGAATATTAAGTTAATCACATACCTAACCAGTTACTGTTCCAGTTTCTATTTAAATCAATACCGAATTCTGTACCGACTGGCTTTCTGTTTTTTCGCCACAGTCTAAACTAAAAAAAAATACAAAAAATAATAAATTAGTTATTTGATAAATATACTCCAAAATACCAAGTATTTGCCTAAATTGCTTATATTTTCAATAAAAACTCTTCAACATCCTTCAATTTGTTACGCAGAGTGACTAAAACTACTTATACATTGTAGAACCATGTTAGGTTGTAGATAAAAGGTAAAAGGTAGATATTTCTAACATTATTATTAACAAAAAGGTAGAAATAAAATAAATTATACTATATTACAATTTAGTTTAAGCATATGGTTATTGAAATTTAAATGAAATATGTATATCAATTCCACTCTAATTACTTGAAGATTTAAAGACAATGTTGTCTTGCATTTCAAGTTCTCACTCAATGCGCCTGTTCAACCGTATGTTTTTCTGTGAATCAGAAACTAAAACCATATGCTGTAGATGACAGGTGAAAATGGACTGAAGGAAAATTAAGTGATAAAGATTATGACTTGCACTAAGCATTAAAAAAAAAATTTGATGGAAACATACACTGTCAATCGAAACCATTCCTTTAATGTGGTTTTAAAAATCATTCATATATAGAATACATAAAATAACAAATTACCACATATTTCTTATACAAGTAATATTATATAAACACTTATTTCCATATACACTTACATCAGTGTGTGTCCAAACATACCCATCTGGGTTCGTCACAGGGAATATATACCAGTCGAAATCTCTTGCTGCTGCTCTTGTCTCTGGATCGTTACTAGTTAGCAACTGGATAGTGATATAGCATACTGTAGCTGGAGTGATCCATTCTCTAGCATGAATACCGCTTTCGATAAACACTATCCTTCTACCGGGCCCATGGGATATTTTCAATCCCTTAATTTCTCGACCTGAGTTTAATTTGATTTTATTTACAAGAGTATTATTTACTCGTCTAGTAAGAGACTCATAGTCACAGGTAAAGTGGAAGGAAGACTATCCAGAGGTTGGAGCTAAAAAAGATGGAGTGACCAAGTGTCCGAGCATCTGGACCACGCACTTCACTGTGCCACTGACCGACATAAGTGGCTACAAATTATAAAAAAAGGTCACAGGCCGGCGCATCACAATGCTCAGCAATGAGCGATCGACTGAAGAAGCAGAAGTTTAGTAAGATAGAGAATAGGGAAGACTTACAAAAAGATTATTTAAAATTAGCTGCAAAAACTATAACTAAGTAATAATTATAATTTAGAGATATTTTTTCAGGAAACTATTTAATTATGTTACAAATATTTCTAGACGCAAATATCAATGTCTCATTATTATTATTATAAAGTCGTGGTGACCTAAAGGATAAGACTTCCGATGCATTCGTGTCTGGCGATGCACCGGTGTTCGAATCCTGCAGGTGGGTACCATTTTTTCTAATGAAATACGTACTTAACCAATGTTCACGATTGACTTCCACGGTGAAGGAATAACATCGTGTAATAAAAATCAAACCCATAAAATTATAATTAGCGTAATTACTGGTGGTAGGATCTCTTGTGAGTCTGCACGAGTAGGTACCACCGTCCTGCCTATTTCTGCCGTGAAGCAGTATGTGTTTCAGTTTGAAGGGTGAGGCAGCCGTTGTAACTATACTAAGACCTTAGAACTTATGTCTCAAGGCGGGTGGCGCATTTACATTGGGCTCCAGTAACCACTTAACACCAGGTGGGCTATGAGCTCGTCCAGCCATCTAAGCAATAAAAAAATTAATAAAATTTGAAATGCTTTGTCTGTCTTAATAATGAGACCATCTCAGCTTAATAATTCTACTCCTAATTTTGGATAATTTTGCCATAGGATCAATATTCCTAGTTTGAGCACATATCATGCGACGAATAATTTGATACCACTGATCAAAAGAGCTACTGTTATATATAGTATATTGTAGCCTCTAAAGCCATTATGTGTAGGCTGCATCATGGACACGATCATCATTAGGTTAATACAATTAAGATTTCCATTTCACGATAGGATTAGTTCATTGATCGAATTCGGACGTTTCTGTTCACGTATTAAATCTGTGACTTAGAGAAGTAGCTTTTTAGGAGCAGAATTGAGTTGCTAAGTCATCTATTTATGCAAAACAAATACCTTCATATGAAGTACCAGCGACTTCAGTTGTAACAATATCTGGATATGTTTTTGCTAAATCATCTATCCAGGCGTATATTTCTTCCAGTTCATAATACGCATCCCATTGCATACTTCGGACATTATTGCGTGTATACTTTTTAACTGTCTGTCGGTCAATAGCTCTGAAATTTTCAACATGTTCGGTGCGGGAAATCATTTTGTACTTTAATTAATAATGGCTAATAGGACAGGCTGATACTGCCGTTTGCAACAGAGTCGTTGGGTTTGTTAGGTGGATACAAAACGGAGCGATGGTTCAAAATAATTATTTTTGTAACTTGTACATTATGTAAAAAAATATTGAAATTATATATAGCACGATGTAGATTTCAGACTTATTCCATTCACCGATTTTATTCAATAAAACTTAGTAGATGGTTTTACTTATACTTTTTAATTAAATAATAAGACTAAGTAAATTTTAAATAGCCAAAAAAAACATACAAAACGTCTAATTTTTTTGCGATAAATATAAGTATATATAATCGGTAGTATTTTAAACTAGTGATAGAATTTTATTTCGAAATAATAATAAAGTGAAGGGGAAATAAAATATAATTAGAAAAAAACTGTATTGTCTTAAGCTAACGGAAAATCATGGCTTTATCATCGCCAAGGTTCATAAGCGACATTCAAACCATACCTTCCGTCGCCTTGTATGGCAATAACATAAGATACTCACTCTTGTATGTTCTGAATAGTTGTTATAAATGCTACATTATTCTGAATTAAAATATTTTCAAGGTCTATTTTATCATGTGGTGCAGCTACTACGTTCAAATATTCAGCAGTAGGAATAGGATCGTCCCAGAAATCGAACCTTCTATCATTTTCGTACAATTCTTGCAATATCACAAAGTCACTACTATCCTTCGGTAATATTTTGTAAAGAGTATAATTATCGAATTTAAATCTTTCACTTGCCACAAAAGAACCAGTCAGAAAAAAAATGAAAAAAATTAAAATCATTTTCGTATACTGTAATTATGCTACAACCATACTAGTTGTAGCTGTTGACTGTATCTAAATAAATAAAGTTGATATTAAAAATTGTGTTAAACCATAAACTAATTGGTGCTGTAAAATAATTTGGTGCAGTAAATGTTTTTTAGGATACCTTTAGGATATAATGGAAATTTACAATCGATTTTATCATTTATCTAATTATCTAATCTTTTATTGAGACTACAACCTCATGTCTCAAGGTAGACAGTGTTGTGATTCCTAAGGCATACATATGGCATATATGTATCATCACCGGCCTGTCTTGGCTAAAATTTATTTCTTATAAGTTCATTAATTATAAAATATATTCTAAGTACCCAGATTGTTGTTGATTTGAAAAGGTTCCTAGGCCATATTGAACATATGCTTATATTAACGATATGGTAACCTTAGATGTAGTTTATGTAATTCCTTTATCCTCAACTAATGGTACCCTAGTCTTTAAGACTATAGCGGAACAAACATGTCGACTAGAATCATCACCCAATTGTTTTTCACAAACCAACGGTCATTTCTAAATAGACGACGTTTTTGTCATGGCGATACAATTTTTTTTTTTATTGCATAGATGTGTGGACGATCTCACAGCCCACCTGGTGTTAAATGATTACTGGAGTCCATAGACATCTACAACGTAAATGCGCCACCCACCTTGAGATATAAATTCTAAGGTCAGAGTATACTTACAACGGCTGTCCCATCTTTCAAACCGAAACGCATTACTCTTCACGGCAGAAATAGGTGGGACGGTGGTACCTACCCGTGCGACTCACAAGAGGTCCTACCACCAGTAAATCGGCGACCTGATTTTAGATGTATCCAGCCAAAGTTTTATTAACTTAAAGCAAAGATAATTATGGCAATTAAAAGTACCAAAAACACCTGAACCTCGTAAGCTCGTTTAAAAGTCATAAATATTTCTTCAAACGAAACAACTAATTCCAATGATGGCCACTATAAAACTTTTCCAGTACTTAATATCTTTACGATGCAACCTTTATTGATTATATGTTTTATTACCAATATTCTGGTTGTCATCGTTTTTTAATCTATTTGATTACGGAGTACAATACTGATGTATACGTGATGTTCGGCTTCGAATATTTCAAGTTAAATTTTGCCACGTGCGACAAAAATTTCTTGTCAAAGGATTACTGGTGGTAGGACTTCTTGCGAGTCCGCACGGGTAGGTACCACCGCCCCGCCTATTTCTGCCGTGAAGCAGTAATGCGTTTCGGTTTGAAGGGTGGGGCAGCCGTTGTGACTATACTGAGACCTTAGAACTATAACTCAAGGTGTGTGGCGCATTTTACGTTGTAAATGTAAGCAATAAAAAAAAAAGATGATACATTTTTTATTACTAGCTTTAAGCTGGGTATTAATTGGTTTCCAGAACCCAAATATCTCAATAACAAAGTGACCCGTAAAGTAGAAGTAAAATTTTGATTGACTCAGTGGTGCAGTAGTTAACGGTCCTGACTGTTGCGTCGAGGATCGTGGGTTCGATTCCCACATCCGGCAAACATTGTCATATGAATAGGTTTGTTTATTATATATTTTTAAAATATATTCATTGTTATTCGTTGGACTTCGGTTCCCTCTGTATTTTGTACCGTATGTTCCATGGGGAGTGCTCTGAGGAATTGTTTGAGATGATCCCACATCTCCTTTTTATTATCGCACCTCCCGCCATCGGCGCAGAGTTCATCCATATTATCTGGAGCCGCTGCGTTCATCGACAGTGCGTTTCCAGAGGTCTTTTTTGCCACGTACCATCCGGCTATGGAATGAGCTCCCCTCCACTGTGTTTCCCGAGCGCTATGACATGTCCTTCTTTAAAAGAGTCTCGTGGAGAGTATTAAGCGGTAGGCAGCGGCTTGGCTCTGTCCCTGGCATTGCTGAAGTCCATGGGCGACGGTAACCACTCACCATCAGGTGGGCCGTATGCTTGTCTGCCTACAAGGGCAATAAAAAATAATATATATATATGTATATATAATTAAAAATATATATGTAGAGACTGATAAACATTAGTCTCTGGTACCCCTAACACAGATTGAGGCCGGATGACTGTGCGTGATTTGTTCCCATTAATGATTAGTTTTTATTATGAAAAGTCAAGAGTAGATACCTCAATTGGGCTTAATGCACCCAATCTTTAAGCTGCAAAACATAACTGCGTCACAGTAACTATAAGCAGGACTGTCCGGATTAACACCAGACTCTATCAAGAGCAATTACGCAGATTAATAAATCGTCAGGATTTCATTTTTATTACACGATGCTATTCCATTATTTTATCGTGGAAGTAATTCGTGAATTGCTAAAACACTTATTGCATTAGGTAAATAGTAAGTGCCTATGTACCGGATTTCAACTCCGGTATTGCCGCAATACTCTATTCGTACTGGGCACTTTCTTATATTTTCGACCATGGACATTTCTATGGTCACGTTGAAAACTGACAAGTCACTGTTAATAAACTGGCTGCAACATTTTCGGCAGAAATTCCTAGCCCAAAAATCTCGACATGGTCTCTTTCTGTTCCTGTAGTCAAGTTTCACTTGTGCCGCGAACAAAGTGATTGGGTTGCTAATAGTTAAATAAGGTCGCAACTAGTGAATAGTCATTAGTTATAGGCTCGCGATAATCAAAGAGGTATAATCCTCCAAATCCTCCAAACCAAATATATTTGGCTAGAAAAACCGCTTGATACTAAAATTGCCAGCAAATAATCGCAATTGTCACTTAAGAAGACTGAATGAGCATCCGGTATTAAACTAATCACTGATCAAACTTTTATCACTAATGATACATGTTTCATATACGTACATTTTCAGGGTCTGACCCAGATATTTTTTTCATCTATAACAAAAAACATTGGTCCAGACTTTGACTTAAACTCGAACCCAACGCTGGCAATAATAGATGCGGTCACTAATGACCCAAACAGGTCGAAATGACCAAATACTCCAATATAATCTGCAATTAATAATAATAATAATAATTAAAAATACAGTCTGTAATTAGTATAGTCATTTTATTTTATTATGTAACTTTACAGTATGTTAATAAATTTAGCTTCCCTAATAATAGCCATTACAGAATCGAAGGTTTCCTCACAGGTTGGCAGAACCTGGTTCACGGGGAGAGTGTAGCCCCAAGACCCTGTATCACGGAGTAAGTATGCTGCAGATATAGGAGGATTAAACCTATGTTTCACCCAATCCTCAGCTGCTCCTGTATTTCCAGCTGTTGATAAAATAAATCTTAGAATGAAACATACAAGTTCGCGTTAATTTAGAAGTCGTCGTGGCCTGAAGGATAAGACGTCCGGTGCATTCGTGTTGAGCGATGCAACGGTGTTCGAATCCCGCAGGCGGTTACCAATGTTTCTAATGAAATACGTACTTGACGAATGTTCACGATTGACTTCCACGGTGAAGGAATAACATCGTGTAATAAAAATCAAACCCGCAAAATTATAAATTTGCGTAATTATTGTGGTAGGACGTCTTGTGAGTTCGCACGGGTAGGTACCACCACCCCGCGTATTTCTGCCGTGAAGCAGTAATGCATTTCGGTTTGAAGAGTGGGGCAGCCGCTGTAACTATACTGAGACCTTAGAACTTATCTCAAGGTGGGTAGCGTGTTTACGTTGTGGATATCTATGGGCTCCAGTAACCACTTAACATCAGGTGGGCAGTGAGCTCGTACACCCATCCAAACAATAAAAAAAATAAAAAAAAAATTGTATACAACTAATTTACTGGTACTGGTACTATTAGCATGTCCTCTTCTATATCAGTACTTAATCTGGTATGTTATCAATACAATGTTTGCTCTCAAGAAGAACTATCCTACAATAGAATAAAAAAACTAATTCTGTTTTCCACATAAAAGCAATAAATCGTATAATAAATCATATTATCAAACCATCGAAATTAATCGCAGCAATATTATTACGCCGGTAAGAGCAACGCCATCTATTGTCGAATAGCAGAACCCATAATCATAAGAACTAGTAAAATCGAGAACGCTCGCAAAGTACAACGCCATCTATTATCAAATAGCGGAAACCTATATCGAAACTACTCGACCTGTTAGGAATGTTCTTGATAATTCTAGGGATGTCGTATCGACTATAAAAGCGTTGCAGAGATGACGCCAAGGCAGTTAGTAATCGGATTTACTCGAAGCGAAACTGCGAACGGATTACCCGAAGCGAAGCAGAGGAAGTGAATTGAGAATTTTAAAGTCCTCTTTAAGTGTTTTAAGTGTTCTAAATGTTAATACAGCATTAATCTGTACTTCGGTAGAATTTTTATTTATCCCTAGCGTGTAATAATATTATAAACGGTAAATTCAGTTCATACTTACAGTGTACTAATCTAGAAGTGCCAGTGATGTAAAGTGTCCCGTAACGGACAGATAATGATCCCATAGCTCTCCTGCCAACAGTCAACTGGGAACAGACAGGATTATTAAATTTTCTGATTGAGTATATTTGAGATCGATCTGTGTACTAATAGTTAACGTTGATTTAAGAGGTCATCGAAGCTTTTAGACATGCCTATGTGAATGTCGAAACTGACCTTGAAATATGAGGTCGGAGTCTCACAATTAGACTATAATATTCCATCATTGTTCTACAAAATGGATTACAACTGTCAATAATAAAATTTGGTATTCATGTTGATTTAGATTTAATTTATTACTTCGACAGCTGGAGAAACTCACGCCCTCCTGGTGTTAATTGGTCACCGGAGCCCAAAGACATCAACAACGTAAATGCCGCCACCCATCTTGAGACATGAGTTTTATGTCTCAGTTTTTACAGTAAGTACAACAGCTGCCCACTCTACAAACCGAATTGCACAGATTCATGGCGGAAATAAGCAGACTTGAGATAACCTATCCATGCGGGCTCACAAGACACTCTACCGCCATTAAAGGTTTCCAATATTGATTCCAAAGGTTTTGAATTTAAAAAAAAGCTCATTTGATCAGTTAAATAAAAAGACGTACACAAATTATCACTTACCACATCCTGATAGTTATACATAGGTACAGAGCTGTGAGCAAAAGGAACTAGAAGACGTTGTCCAAACGATCTTAACGATAGGAAGCCGACCAAGTTCGGGCCGATGCCCTCGATGTAGCGCGCCAGTGATCTTGTTTCCACTTCCGAGAACGGCCCCAGACCAATGTAGTTGCTTGCTGCAGGAGTGAAACTGCCGCCGATAACTGAAAAAGCGATACACTTTTAAATGAACTTTTGAAGTCGTCGTGGACTAAAGGATAAGACGTCCGGTGCATTCGTGTTGAAGAGATGCACCGGTGTTCAAATCCCAGGCGGGTACCAATTTTTCTAATGAAATACGTACTCCACAAATGTTCACGATTGACTTCCACGGTGAAGGAATAGCATCGTGTAATAAAAATGAAACCCGTAAAATTATAATTTGCGTAATTACTGGTGGTAGGACCTCTTGTGAGTCCGTGCGAGTAGGTACCACCTTCTGCCTATTTCTGCCGTGAAGCAGTAAATAATGCGTTTGGGTTTGAAGGATGGGGCAGCTGTTGTAATTATACTTGAGACCTTAGAACTTATATCTCAAGGTGAGTGGCGCATTTACGTTGTAGATGTCTATGGGCTCCAGTAACCACTTAACACCAGCTCGTCCACCCATCTAAGCAATAAAATAAAGAAAAGACTAGTATTATCTAGTGCCTAGCGTCGTTTTCTCCTTTTTCGTTAATATTATATTTATTCTGAGTAATAATTTCCAGCTAGTGCAAGAAGTAAATAGCAATCCACAAAGCTTAGCCTTAAAATAGTATTCGTGGCGTAAAGAATAAGATGCTTGGTGTGCTCATGTGGAGTGACGGTTACGTCAATGGTCAAATCCCGCAAGCAATTACCAATTTTTCTAACAAAATGCGTACTTAAAAATGTTTACGAACGACTACCACAATGCAGGAATAACATCATGTGTTAAAAATTAAACCCGCTATTTTAATATGCATAGTTAATAAAGCAATTAAGACATAAATGTGAGATCTCAAGATGAGTGGTGGCATTCACGCTGTGTCTTTAGGAACTGATAAATACTAGATGGGCCATAGCTTCGTTAACAAGTGTAAGCAATAAAAAAACCTACATAGTCAATCTAGAAAAAACTTTATAGAATCCATAGGGAAGCAGAGATCTTTGGCTAAAGGGTTATATAATACTAATGTGAAATTAGAATTTCTTGTTAAAAGAAAAATCGTAAACACAACACAACACACGTTTTATTACTGGTGGTAGGACCTCTTGTGAGTCCGCGCGGGTAGGTACCACCGCCCTGCCTATTTCTGCCGTGAAGCAGTAATGCGTTTCGGTTTGAAGGGTGGGGCAGCCGTCGTAACTATACTGAGATCTTAGAACTTATATCTCAAGGTGGGTGGCGCATTTACGTTATAGATGTCCATGGGCTCCAGTAACCACTTAACATCAGGTGGGCTGTGAGCTCGTCCACCCATCTAAGCAATAAAAAAATTAAAAAAATGAACGCTTTCAAAATAAAACCGATAATTTTCCCTCTTACGCATTTGTGGTATTGTTAGCTTTTTATTTGGTAGCTTATATACAATTATTAGTTTAGAATCTAATAATTAATTAATTTTGACCTACAATACTCAATAGTCAGAGTAGTTATTTCTATAGGTGAAACAGCTATTTACAATTAGTTAAAATCCATCCATGACTATTACTTTAGAATTTATCCTTAAAATTCAATTCTTAACTTTGCGTTCATCAGTTAAAACACAATCCTTGATTAGATCTTAAATTAATTCAACAGAATAAAACTATTTAACAAAGATATTTTTTAACTTCTTACTTCCCCATTGTGAGTTCCAGTTTTTGGTAAGATCTACACCGATAGTGGTTCTAGTTGTAGGCCTTCTATTTTTCACCCAAAGTCTTACCTGCAATGAATACCATACAAAATTATCTCTACTATAAATAAATCTATATTATTTTCAGCATCTCGTTGGTCGAACCACAATGTAAGACTCTCATGACGTTGAGAATTTGAGAAATTTTCAGATAGATTTTTGCAGTGCAAAATATTTCAACGGGAGTAAGGTTGACTCTATAAAAGTGCTTGTTAAGTTATTTACCCAATTTTGAAATTTGCACTAAGTTCGAAGGTTGATCGTTAACCTGTGTGTTTAGTGCGAGTTTTTTAACGTTCTCGATAGCGTAAAAGTTAACTCAAATTTGTATGCAGTTGGAACAGTGCCCCTAGCGGTAAACGTGGCAAAAGTTTTTAACTCCATACAAATTGGAGTTAACTTTTACACTGTCGACAACGTTAAAAACTTAGCACTAAGCACTCTATCTATCTAAGCCGGTAAACAAAATTCAAAATCATAAACACATCCAAAATATTCAAATTCGAAATTCAAAAGTAGGCAAATTAATTCTAGATTAACGAAAAAGTCAAAACTCACAGAATCTTGGGTAAATTGATGTCCATCAGGATTGACAATAGGGAATATGTGCCACTCGAAATCCTCCGAAGCGGCTCTGGCCTCAGCGTCTGTTCCCTTGACCAGCTGATCAACTAAATAAGTGAGGACTGTCGGTGACAGCCAATCAGCTCCTACTTGTCCGCCTTCTAGCACGAAAGCCTTTTTGCCGGTGCCCCGAGCAATTTTAATACCGGTTATATTTCTACCTAGAAATCAAGTATTTCCATATATATTTATCAATTCCCGTAATTATTAGTTTTAGGGTGTATTGTAAGCCCACACGGGCATTGACCATGCTGTTGCTTAAAAGCATGAGACAACCTTATGCAACAGAATCTTCGATCTCATGATTTATAGTGGATGAAACGAATCAGCCAAATAGCAACTCGTTATTTTTGACTACCTTCATAAGATTGTCCAATTGTTACAACCGAAACAATATCGCTTCGAGTTTCAGCTAAATAGTTGAACCAGTCGTAAATATCTTCTATAGTCTGATAGTTAGTCCAAAATAGTTCCCTTGAAGATTCACGTTTTCTTCTGCTTACAACTTGAGCGTCGAATGCTCTGCAACAAAACAAATTGCTCTTGATTTATTTTAATTTCATATCTTTTACGTGTCTATTGTATGTTTTTTTTTTAATGTTAAAGTCTTATTTCTTCAATATCCTAAGTTTTCTTTCGTACATAGTTGTATTAATTTTAATGTTGTAGGTTTATAATAGTATTAATTAATTGATTACCAAACTGAAATTGAAGTCTGTCAACTGTAGTATATAGCAGCTTTTCTGCCCTTGAAATCGAAATGTTTTTTACTTCGCGGCAGAAATAGACAAACGGTAAAATGCCACCTACCTTTGCAGTATTTGAATATGTTATACCATTAGAAAATGCCCATTGACAAATGTACGCTAGTAAAATACTCAGAAAACACTACTGCCCTTTCTCTGGTGTACTCCTTAGTTGCCTATTAAGATACTAGAAAGAGATAGGGTAGAATCATTCTAGAATACCGCATATTCATATCCATCATTGTTTTCTTTAATAATAAACTTTCACGACACGTTTCATAAAGCACTTACAGGACAAAATTATTCTAATTTTACTACTTACTCTTGTATATTCTCCAACATCAATTCAGAACTGATACTCCTTTTATTTAAAGCAAGCTCAAATTCTGCCCTCATTTCAGGTGGCGCCACAACACTCACATACTCACCCACCACACTGGGCGGCTTCCAAAAATCTAAGCCATCATCAGCTTCGAACAAATCTTTTAGAAAAGCTACATGTTCTTCTCTTTCTGGTTGAACTTTATACAAAGTATAGTTATCATAACGAACCTTATCACTAAGTATTGATCCACTCAATAGACTAAGCACCAATAGTTTCGTGAACATTCTTCTAGAGTAATTGAGACACAAATGAAATAGATCTTATCGTTATGATACTAAATTTTAACATGACCAAATTAAGAGTGCATTAAGTGCAATAATACAATTGAGGCCAGGTCCTCAGGAAAGATAATATTAATATCTAATCGATATCTTATCACAGGTTATAATTTAAAATAATATCAAGTATTGTAAATCAATTAATTTAGATAATAGTAGCCGACATTATTTACGTTACAACCGCTTGTGTTGCATGCCTAAAATATACTTACTTAAATACCAGTTACGATGTTAAAACTAAAGGTAGCTTCAGATAGCTTAATTACAAACCTACGTACGTTAGCACAGGAATAATATTATAACATTAAAATATCATAAATGAGTAAATATAATGTACCTAATGAAACTATAAAAGCAAATTAAGGTACATTAATATATTATAATATTGTAATTGTAACACAAATATCCCACTAATTCGATAGGGAAATCCCCGAATAGTTGACACACCGTAATTTGCATGATATTATCATTGCAAAATCCCAGAGTATAAAAAAAAATATTTTTACGAAATTATTCAATATTGTAACTATAATATCGTCTCAGGCTACCAGCGAATAGGTAGGGTGAAAAATCAGTATCAAATAAATATTCCAGTAAACTTCCTTGGATAGATTTATGTCTTTAATAATAATTTAGAGTCCGTCATGTAAGATTAATTACTTAATACGACTTAAATCTGTTTCAATCTGTATTATTACTTCTGCCATCACGTCTGCATCTGTGGTGTTAGTATTTCCATCTTATTTCTTAATAAAGACCTCGAAAATATATTCATTACTACCAGCTCATCTCCACTCTTGGTTATCACTCATTACTACTATCAATTTGCATACAAATTGTCAATCTACATTTTCGTTGTACAAAAATTTACATACAAAATTTTTCAATTCATTAAGCACACGCACACAATATGTCGTGTAGCGTTAGGTCGAGGTTTCCGAAATCCCGGAAGCTCCATTTGTAAAATTTTACAATTTAACGTTATAATGAGGGATCATCATAAATCTGTTAATGTGCTCCGGCCATTAAGTTGGTGTCACGAAGCGGTCACAATGACAATTTGTCGTCGTTATAGGGTTGGGCAAATTTTTATACTAAAACTAGCTGTACCCGTCCGCTTCGCTGGGCATTTAAAATGAACCATATTATTTTTCACCCCCACAAAGATTATCATCATTAACGCCCCCGCAACTGGTGTAGGGAGCTCAATACTCATATAAATATTAGCCTATCCATTAGGTACATGTATTTTCTACATGGATACCAAGTTTGAAGTCAATTGGATGCATGGTTCAGTAGTTATAACGGAGCATCCGTAAAAACCACTGTAGATTTATATATTAGTGTAGACGTGTTTTTAAGGCTTGCAGCTCCAATTTAGAGTGAAGACAATGTTTAAATTGTGAACACTTTTATTAGTCGCACGATATAGTAAATAGTTGCTTAGTTGTGCCCCTGGCATTGCTAAGTTAAATATACCGCAACTGCCTCCAGCCTCCAGCCATCTTTAAAGACGAGATCGAAGACCCAATTTATTGTGTAAGGGCTGTTCCACCCTTCAGTACGAATCATGCAATTATTTCGCGCCATAAAAGCGCAGAATGGTGATGCCAATCCGGGCCGGTTTTCAATGTCCTCTCGCATGGCATCAGCAAATATTTTTATGAGAAATATCTGCTAAGTTATATCACGTTTTCTAAAGCACAACCCTGTAATGCGAATTCACAAGATCGATCGCCTCGAAGGTAATTAGCAACGGATCAGTTAAACCGAGCTCTTTGCAGTTCATTTTTAACTGTTGACGTTTTGACAGCGCAGATTCAGCGGCTGGTGTATTTCAGGACGGAAATTAAGGGTCGCGGCACTCGGTTTTAAGAGTTATTGTTTGAAAGCGGGAGTTAATTTTTAAAGAAATTTCGATATACTAGTCAGTCAACCCACAGACTCTAAGTAGATAAAAGTACGCCTAGTAATAGAAGCAAAAAAAACTCTGCGAGCTACTCCTCCATCATCCGCTTGTAATAGCAGTACTGTATTCTTTTTTCCCAAATTTTTCCCTAATTAAGCGTGGCGGTAGGGCATGTTACACAATAATTTATAACCTCTGTTTATATAAAGCGAGTTACGTGCAGTCAAACTGCGTAAGCAGTTTTGCGAGGCATGGTTTAAATGAAAGTGTAACTTTTTATTAATATATAAATTACATAAAAAAATTACATACACTCATACCCCGCCTATTACTGCCGTGAAGCAGTAATGCGTTTCGGTTTGAAGGGTGGGGTAGCCGTTGTAACTATACTGAGACCTTAGAACTTATATCTCAAGATAGGTGACGCAAATGCGTCACCTACCTATGCGTCTACAACGTACATACGTTGTATATGTCTATGGGCTCCAGTAACCACTTAACACCAGGTGGGCTGTGAGCTCGTTTACCCATCTAAGCAATAAATAAAAAAAAAATACTAAATTATAATAAGAGATCACCTTTAAATCTGCTATAAAATTATCTCAGAATTTATTGAAAATATTAGCTCGAAAACAAGACGCTTAAACGTATATTTTATTCAATCGAATAATTCCAGAAACTGAATTGTTTAACGGTATATAGGTCAACAATGGTTTTTATATAATTAATTCCAAGCTTAACCATCTGCGTCTCATAAATATTAAGGAAGGCATCTCCGACTCGAGGGATACTTTCGATGAAATTTTATCAAGACTAGTGTATGATTCTTGCTTTGTTTGATAAAGGTTGCAATATAGCTAAGATTTTATTTTGTGTTTTGTATTGACAGAATTATGACCACCTTGTTGATCTCGAGCGCAGCTAATCCACTACCGCTGAAGACATATTTTAAACCTGGTTATATTGAGGACATGTTAATGCTTGCGGCAAATAAAAAGATAATTAATTCTAGAGCTAACATAAATTATGTTGTATCAACAGATAAAAACCGTTTTGTCTTTAATTCCCTTTTTTAAATATACCCTTAATAAGGAGATTGTCGCTATTTCCGCATACCTTCTCAAAAAAGGGACAATATTAGGTAAGCGTAAAGATTAGGTTAGATATTATTTCACGGGCATACTCCTACTCTACTCCTCTAGGTATTCAATAGCAAGGTATTTAAAAAAGGTTTCTGTTTGAAGGGCGGGGCAGCCGTTGTAACTATACTGAGACCTTAGAACTTCTATCTCAAGGTGTGTGGCACATTTACGTTGTAGATGTCTATGGGTTCCAGTAACCACTTAACACCGGGTGGGCTGTGAGCTCGTCCACACATTTAGGCAATAAAAAAAAAAAATGAAATTAGTCCAATCTACAAAAAAAACCTACTAACTTTTTATATGTAATGCGCTCTCATATTCAACCGTCATCTTATTATTGAGATTTCGAAATTCCTATAAAATCCCGCGATTCACGAGTGATTTATTCAAGATTTACAGGAATGATTTCTCTCATCTCAAAGCAAAGATTCATGGATTTCACATTTGAGAAAAGCGTGATTTTTTAATTGATCATCTTCACTATTTCGGATCCAATAGAGCATCAGACATTATTTTAATTGTAATTCAAAATTTGTTCCATTTTAAAAAAAAAATCTTTTAGTTCGCTGCAAAAAAACGTTACACCTGCTACAACACATTGCTGAAGTCTGCTGGCATTGCTGAAGTCCATGGGCGACGGTAACCACTCACCATCAGGTGGGCCGTATGCTCGTATGCCTACAAGGGCAATAAAAAAAAACACAGCAAAAATACGTGCGACTCAATGAGACGGTACCAGCACCAATTACGGATTTAAATAGTGTAATTAACAGTAGTATTACTGGCCAAACTATCTCGTTTTGATCTTTAAAATACATTCTATTCGTATACCCATAATGAGTTCTCATGCCAATTCCGAACACATTCCGAATATCCGACTCTACGTCAATAAATGCAAATGATTGCTGAATCACCGTTTTTGTGGTATTGATCACACTTGATTCAGCGTTTGTAATAACGAGAGTATATTTAAGGTAGGTATAAATGCAATTTACTCTGGTAGTAGTGTTGACCGCGTGAACTCCTCTACTCTTACAGGGTTCTGACCCAGAGCGGAGATCGGACGTCGGATGTAAGAGTGCGAAGGGAGTCGTTTGGTGTGGTAGGGCCCTAAAAACATCTTTGGGCCCGTGGTCTGCTTCCAACATCCGCAGACCGTCAAGTCCCCCATATCCCACGTGCCGCCTAGGCGGGGAAATTTCGTAGGAGGTTCGGTCTCTTGCCCGAAAAAAAGGAATAAATGCGATTTCACGTCGTGCATATCATGTTGCTGTTACTAGTTATACTCTGAGGGATTTCTTGAGATGATTCCGATATTTAGAGCTATTAGCGCACTAACCGCTTCTTTTTTTTTCCTACCTATGCTGATAGCCTTGTGAAGCTATTGCAGCTTCACCCTAACGTGTGGTGGTAGGTGAGCTCATGGGGCTCAAACCGGAGTGTTGCTAACACTGACCCTAGCAAGAGCAGTGCTTCGCAGAATCTACCACCGGATCGGAAACGCGACCCACTGAGAAGATCCGGCGAGAAACTCAGTGGGCTGTATCTATGGGTTAATTCGCTCGTCGAGCAGTCGCAAGTGACGGGTTCGGCGAGGACGGTGACCGATAGTTGTGGTGCCTAAAAGCACCGTTGATGGATCGGACAACCGCTTCAAGAAGCGCTCATCCATATTAAAATTAGTGGGTTATAGAATTAGTTGGGTATACCGCATATTCTTGAATAAGCTTCCCTCTAAGATGATTCTCAAGCGTCACTCATCACACGAAGAGTTTTAAGCGCTTAGTGGCGGCTAGACTGGGCCTTGGCATCTCTGATATCTGTGCTTCATGATTCAAAATCAGTTAAGGATGCTGAACTTCCTTCGTAGACTGTAATTTTTACTTAGACGAATA